TAGGGGATCCCGTTGAGCAGTAAGGGCAAGAGAAACTTGTCGCATGGTAGGCCGGAATTGAGGGTTGCTATGCAATCATGCGATAGCCAGCTTGGTAGTAGAGACCGTTTGAGGATTGCCATCCAATGACCATTTGGCATGGATGGCGATGATGATGAAGATGATAAATTTAAAATAAGATCACCCAGATGCTTTTCCCATTAGTATCCCCGGTGTTAGCATGCAGAAACTACAAACATCACATTTTTCAGTCGCTCTCAATGTGTAAGCCAACTCTGCAAAGAGAAGTAGAATTATGCAGCCCTTTTCGGATACAATAACAAAGATCAGAAGCTAAATTAATATCTTGAAAATTATATGGTTTTGGTGTTGAATAATTACAAAACTAGAGCTGTGCACCCGAAAGTATAAAATTTTGATGGAAAAATAGTCAAATGTGACAATTAAACTAGGTAAAAGATGAAGTAAATTACTTATTTGATTATTTAATTTTTTTAGAATTTTTATTTTGATCATGGAATTTTAAAATCACGTTTTAGTTAGTCATGTCTATAAAAAGTTTATGTTTAGATTATTCAGTTATAAAAAATTAATAGTGGTTTAAAGTGATTTTTTCACTTCAATTGATTTCGGCCAGATGAATAAAATACTACATGATAGATGAATTGATATGGACATACTATCTAATTAAGATTAATTGACATGAAAAAACTAATGTCAAGACAATCTTTAAAAATTACTGATTAGGTTGAGTATTTAAAACGTTAACTTTTATAACCTAATTTGTTTAAAAATCAGTGATCAAATGGATAATTTTCCCTTTAAAAATAAATAATTTAAATAAAAAATACCTAAAAATGGAGAGTTGGACTATAAGACAACTCAACAATGGACAAAAGAAGGAGAGGACTTTATTTCATCTTTCAACAGCAAATTAAGTTTACAGGAAGCTTATTGAGCAACCAAATTAATCCAAGGCAGCCGACGAAATTAATCGTTCTAGCGTCAATCTGGTGCTCCAAATAAAATGTTAATTCCTAACTAATTAGACCAATCGATATTCACTGTGACAAAATTCCTGGAAGAAAAGGTAAATTCATAAGCAAACAGGCATACCTAATGTTACTATACATCCTCAACATCCAATTATTAGCATCTCAGCCTGAAACTCCACCAAACAATTCTCCCAACTCTATCGTTGAGAAAGGCTTGGGTAATTGAGGCGATGGATGGGTCAAGGCTTGAGCAACCTGACCCATGGTTGGTCGAAATTTGGGGTTGCCATTCAAGCATGCAAATGCTAGTTTTGTAGCGAAGACAACATCATCTGCAACTTGTTTTACTGGTGGTGAGAGACGTTGGTCTATCACGTCGTTCAGTAAAATCTGTAGGTCGTTTGCTTCTGGTGCCAATGGTGATGAGGACAAACATGAAATCAGATCACCAGGATGCCTCCCCATAAGAATTTCCATTGTTAGCATCCCACAACTGTAGACATCGCATTTTTCATCTACTTTCATGGTATAAGCCAACTCTGCATAAAGAAATTGCGAAACTTAAATCCATTACCAAGGCACTAATTATATTTTACACTGCTTCTATTTTCTTAAGATAAAGGAAATTACACATATACCTGGAGCCGTGTACCCAATGGTGCCCGCAAATGAGGTCCAATTGGAGGAGTCTGGCTTTAAAAGTCTAGCTGTGCCAAAATCTGAGACATGAGCCTCATAGTCTAAATCCAAGAGAACATTGTTGCTAGAAATGTCTCGATGAATTATAGGTGGTGAATGGTCGTGATGCATATAAGACAAAGCATTGGCCAATCCTTTGACAACATTGAGCCTTTTATTCCAATCCAACTCCGCTGCCTCTTCATTATGGCTTAAGATCATTCTCAAACTTCCTCTTTCCCAAAACTCATAAACCAGAAATGAGTGCTTTGAATGTAACAAAAACCATGTAGCTTCACAATGTTACGATGCCTTATTTCTGTCAAAGCATGAATCTCACTTCTAAAGGCTTTCAAGTTATTAAAGCATGCTATCTTCTTGTTGGTGAAGTTTCTTGACAGCGACCGCCTGACCATTTTGGCACAAGCTTTATAAACATTTCCATATCCTCCTGAACCGATGCAATAGTTGGAGCTGAAATCTCTGTGGCTTCAATAATATTCTCATAGAGTAGTCTTCCACATATCCCAATACTGTGAAATAATCTCCAAGTTGTGCCTCCCTTATCTCAGATTTTCTGGCTCGATTCTTTTGACGAAGAATAAAGAAACCTCCAACAAGGTAAGTATCAGAAGCAACATACCAAGAGAGTGAAGCACAACTAAAATGATGACTCTGCTGCTTTTCTACGAGCATTTTGGCTAGTGATAGAACAAGGCATTAATCCAGTGGCATTACCACAGAGGTCCTTATTGTTTCTTAGGCTCAAATGAACCTCATGAAATGCCTTAGTTGGGAATAGGCCCTTCTAATTGATTTAAGAGATATTCACAACCTCAAGCTTCGCAAATCATTGAAAGCAACCGGGATTGAACCATTGAGGCATATGTGGAGAAAGATTCAAGTTTTCCAACATATGTAAATTTCCAAGCCTGTTGTGGTATCGCTCCAATAATCAAATTTTGACTCAAATCTAGACTTTGCAAACCATATATGTAGCTTAATGAAAAAGGAATGCTTTCTCCAAGTTTATTCCTGCTCAAATTTAAGTTCAATAACCCAGCACTCTCCAAGTTGATTAGGAACGGTCCACTTAAATTTTTGATGCCAAGTTAAGGTATGTTAGTTTTGAAACCACTCCAATCTCTATGGAATTTTTCCTGAAAGTTGGTTACCACTGAGCAGAAGACGAAACATCAATGAGAATGATCCCAATTCCTTGGGAATCTCACCAATTAGATGATTTGAAGAGAGATCGAGTTCCTGTAATTGAGTTGCATGTTCCAACTCAGGTGGTATCTTTCCAGAAATGTTGTTATTGGAGATTCGTAGGCTTGTTAGATTATGGCACTGACCCACTTTGGAGAAAGTTCACCATAAAACCTGTTATTGCTCAATGCAATATAATTCAAATTTGGATATACACCAAAAGCTTCGATATATTCCTGTCAACTGATTCCTTCAAGCCTAACTCTGTATAAACTTTTGCAGTTTGTCAAGCTTGGTGGGATTTGGCCCGTTAAAATGTTGTGATAACCCCAAGATGAGTAAGGAGTCCACTTTGGCATAAATTTTTGGGTAATTGACCACTAAGATGGTTATTTGATAATTGTAATGATTCCAAATGAGTAAGATTGCTAAATGTTGGAGGAATGGAACCTGACAAATTATTATCGGCAAGGGCTAATGTTGTAACCTTCGTCATGTTTCCTATTGAAGCAGGGATTGACCCAAAAAACATATTATCATTAAGGTAAAGAAGAGAAATGTCGGTCACGTTTCCTATGGAAGCAGGAATGACACCGGTGAGATTATTACTTGACAACTGCAATACGGACAGAGATCCAAGTTGCCCTATTTCACTCGGGATAGAACCAGAGAGCTCATTCTCATATAGATAAAGCGACATCAACATGCTTAAATTTCCAATGGATTTTGGGATAGGACCAGTTAGGTAGTTACTTGAAAAATCAACATATAGGAGAGACCTTAACATTCCTACTTCTCTAGGTATCGGGCCAGTGAGTCTGTTGCTCCCAAGGTCAAGCCTCATTAAAGTAAGCATGCTTCCTATAGAGGCAGGGATTGAACCATTTAGATAGTTTTCATGGAATATTATGTTGGTAACGGAACTCAACCTTTGTATTTCTGGGGGAATGGAACCACTGATCTATTTCCTACAGGAAATCCACTGAAGACTTTTCAAGAAACAAATTCAGATGGAATATTTCCTGTAAAATATTTTGAATGACAAGTCAAGGAAGATGAGCTTGGAAAGGTTTCCAATGTGTGAGGAATGGGCCCATAAAGTGCGTTATTAGGAAGATGAAGTCCAATCAGGTTAGGGAAGGACAGGAATTGAGACGATGAAGTGTACCTCTGAAGCCATAATTTGGAAGGCTTAGATTGGTGATGCTACCAGCCTTGTCGCAAGTGATTCCAACCCAGTTGCAGTGGCTGTCTCCAAGCCACGAAGAGAGCAAAGTTTGGCTTTTGTTGTCAAGGCTAGCTTTCCATTTTAGAAGAGTTTCTGCTTCCGTACCTGCTGTAGCAGCTGCTAAAGAAGCAAAAAATTGGAGGACTGAGGCGGCACAAGCATGAGAAGAAGAGGGCCTGGAATGGTATTAAGAAAGAAGCCATGATTTGAATAGTTGAAAGGATTTTGATTAATTGTTGTAAATTAGTTTAGCTAGAAAGAATGGCCAGGTATTTATGCAAAATATAGAGCATTTCGGTAAGTAGCTAGTCAACATCCAAACATAAATTAAGTAGAATAATGGCCGTTGAAGACGGGAGTGTACTCTACATTTAACGTTATTGAGTAAAAATTAAATTGCGTTAATTAAGGAAAAGTAGACATTTCCACGCCAATCCTTTGAAATATATTTTGGTTCAATTCTTGATTGGTCTGACGAAATTTCGAGGCCAAATGAAAATTAGGTTCCAAGACTCAAATGTCTTGGGGCAGTTGTAGAATGAAAACAATTTCAGCCATTTAAAAATTGCCACATGTCCTTCAATATTTTCTTTCAATTTTATATGGAGACCAATTAAAATTCTTTATTGTTTTTAAATTAATTAATTGAATTCTTTTATACCATTTGGTAATAAGCATTTAGGCCAATACAATTTCAAGGCATCATGGACCATCTAATTAAATTTTGTCTAGGGGTTATCAATTTTTCTAATTAAAGTATAATATCTTATATTAATATTAACGAGTTTAAGTTTTTTAGAATTCTCTCGCTTAACATTATAAATATAATGCTCCTTCAATCTATTTGTCACACACAATCAGGAAAGAAAAAGATATTAAAAAAAAGTCTCTAGAGCTCTCACATCCAAAAAGATAATCAAAAGAATAAAGTCTCCAGTTCCAAGGAGAAATATTGAAGTTTTCAGAGTTCCAACAAATCAAATAAAGAGTAAGCTTCACAAAACAAAATGTCATTACAC